GGGATAGGCTCCAGCACGCCCGCGAGCCTTGTGAGAATAAGCGTATTGGAAAATGGATGGATAGAATTTAGTCGAATGTATACAAAGTCATTTTCTTGAACGTCCCCTTTTAAGTGAAATTGGACAATTTCCCACACACTAAAGTACTGAGGGCCATTGGTTGGGTATAACTGCTATATAGTCTTTTCTGTCATCTCGCTTACCTGTTCCCAGGTGATTTCGGACAGCTCTCTATTTTTCTGGACGACAGCCCAAAGAAAAAGGTCCCTGGCTGGGTCTCTCTGGGCCTCAGCGAGGTCCACCCTGAGGGGAGCTTGAGAACCCGACAAGCTTCTTGACAGCTAGAAAGATGGTGGAGGGGATTAAGCAATGTTCTTTGCTGAAATGATTTTGTCTAAGAAAATTGTGCCTGCTCGGCACTGAGGCAGAAGCTGTTTGATGAAACCGCAGGTGCACAGCAAAAATTAAACTACTGTAATGAGCTCATCACTCCAGTATCAATCTGATATTGATGGTGAGTTGGTATCCATCAAATCAACATTTGGATGGATCCACACACCACTAGTTTAAGTATGGAGTGGTGCAGAACTGCACTAGATCATTCTCGGCAGTGCCATTCATCAAACTTCTTCAAATGTGATTTTCTACCCTTTCAAGTGGCTTCTGAAATGTGAAGATAGGATGAGTGGGAAGTCATTACAAATGAAACAGTAGATGATGGAGTGAGTGTCTCACCGATGTTGCGTCCTCCATGTTAAAGTGGTACATCATGGTGGGGGGCGGGTAGATTGGCTGGGTGAAGTTACCCAGCAAGTGTCGCACCTCGTCCGACACGTGACTCAAGGCGATGCCCGTGCTCTGTGATGAGCACACACGGTTTCTGGTGGCGAACACTCTCCTCCTCCGAGGGCAGGAGGCGTGGACACGTTTGGCCAGCTTGCGCAAGAAGAAGCAGTTGGGCAGCTGCTTGTAGAGCTCGCACAGAGTGTCTTCGCTCTGCAGAAACTCCCTCAGACTCACACCGTTCTCCAGCAGGAGGCTCACAAACCGAGGCTTGTTGCCGGCCAGGGCTGAGAACATGGCCCAGTGGAGATCACTGGACTGGAGGATGGGACGAAAATGTAGAACATGGCGTTTAAACCTTTCAGGGACAGCGGTTACTACAGTGG